TATTACGGCAATATTTAGGCTGCACAAGTAACAGTATAGGTATTATAGGTAGTGTGGGTACAACATGTTAGAAGCTGAAACTGACTCGAGTAGTTGCATGCGCTCGAAGTAGTGAACGTATGTTGTATATAGACTGCGTGCCCAAAGTGTGCCTTATTCTCGTGTGATACTTTACGTGAGATTATACAGGCTTTTGGCATCAAGCTGAAAATTGCTAAACATTTGTGTCTGTGTGTAATCAAGCTTGTTGAACATAAAGTCATGCATGCATAGAGAACATTATACCACTGGGTTCAGGCCCAAGCATAGCAAATTGCGCAACCAGTAGGGGCAAAGTTATAGGCAACAAAATAAAACAAAGCTGAGCTAGAATTTCCTCAACAGAAAATGGGGAGTCTCTTATCTGGTATGTCCCTTTGCACGGTGTCTTCCGTGGGTTAACAGAGACTCCGGGTGAGGGCTCAGGCGCCCGGTCAGCCGATCCCCAGTAGCGGTATGGGTGGTACAAGTGTAGGGTAGTCCCATCGATTGTCTACCACAGTATGCTGTTCCATGGCTCTTTTCCAGCTCTGGATCTGCTGAAGGGTATGCGTCGTTGGTCCATCGTCCTCGGTGTTTAGCTGTAACTGTATGAGGGGTCGTGTGAGGCTGCGGTCAAGGCGGGCGGTTTTCCGCTTGCTTGGCTGTCGCAGGGATACTGTGCCTGGAGGTGTTTTCTGCCTGAGAGGATAGGTAGCTTGACAGGTTGTCAGCTGCAGAGATTGGCTGTCGGATTTAACCGGGGAACAGCGGGTGCGGGGGGCTATCCTCCAGCCCCAGGATATTGTGAAAGCCGACACCTTCTGTCCACGGACTCGGTACTCACGTGTGGCCCGGTCCTGGCCCCTTAAGGGGCAGTTAGAGAATCGCGGTGGCATCCACCGCCTGCGGCGTGCATTCTTCTCCCTGTGTGGTCGATGTCTCGAGGCCAGGCCTCTGTTGGCTATCAGCCTGGGCGGGCAGTTGCTGGTGCGATGAGGCGATATGTGGCGTAGGTTACCCGGAGGGGAAGCGCCCGCCTCCCGTTCTGTGCACCGGTTGGGTTGTTCGGCAGTGGCACGGGTCCGCAGTTTATCCCAAAATGCCTGGAACAAAGCGTCCAGTCTGGTTTCAAGAGTGTCTGGGGGTGCTCGTGCGGGAGTTTGCTGCGACTGTGGTATGGCCTCCGCCATTTTGTGAGGTTGGGGTGCCTTGCGTTGCCTACTGTGTTCAGACAGCTGGGGTAGGGTTTGGTGCCACAGTCCGTTCTCCCAGTGGGGACCGGGATAACCCCCACCGGTCCAAAGGGGGGGGGATAGGAAACCTGTAAAGTCGCTTGGTGTGTCTGGTGTCGGGTTGAGCGGCCGTCTCCCCCCGGCTCCAACTTTAGTAGGCCGCATTCGGCGTTTCGTCTTCCCGGCCCCGACGGGTTTCAGAGGGGTGTCCTTCGGTTCCGTGGTGCACTCCCAGCATGGGTAGCACAACCCGGTGAGTCTGCAGTCTATGTAGCCGGTGATTTTGCCCCAAATTCGGCCCGTCAGGCGGGAGCTCGTGTTGCCCACGTCTGTATTGCTCGGCGGTCAGGCTCCGCCCCCGGCAATTTATTTTTTATCTGGAAGGTTCAGACAATGATCTTTTTGAGTTTTCAGCTTTTTAAAAAAAACAACGGCAAAGGAATCAAGTTGAATTCCTTAACCAGTAGAACTCACGTATAGTTCCTAGATCTAGAAATATATATTGAAGACAAATTAAACACAACACTTTTTTCAAGAAGTTTCTCACAAACACCTTTATAGATTCCCCGGCTCCTATTATCCCCCGTGGTTAAAAGGCGCTCCAAAGAGACAGTTTATCAGATTAAGACGAAATTGCACAAGCCGAGACATCTTTCAAGAAGAATTGTAATGCTGGGGAAATTGACCTGCTGAGTAAGAATATTGAATGACTAGATAGAAAGAACATTACTATGCCCATCATTTTACATTTTAATAATAAGACTTTTACCATTGGGAATTTTAAAAAAGGATGACATTTAAATCTTTTTTTACTAGATAAATCTAAGATCATGTTTAGAGGTGCCCCCAATCTTAAGAATCCCTAATTAAAAACTACACTGAAAAATAACTTCCAATAATATTAATAATAATAAAAATTACTGGGGGAAAATAAGGGCTTTTACAAATGTAAATGCTGCATAGCCTGCAAATATACATATACAGAGGACTCAAATGTATCTGCTTTTAAATCTAATTATTCTCAAAAAATATATAATATAAAAAAAACGTATTACAAGCCATTCCTAAAATGTTATATATCTATTATGAATTGTTTTGGATTGTTTTGCCCCATTTGATACGGGGCTATTCAGATTTAGTTAATTACCCTGCAAATGTAGTTTGGACTTAGCCTGTCTGGATGCAACAAATGGCTGAAATTCAGAACCTAATCATGAAAACATGCAACTGAATGTTCAAGTTTTATACAACTGGCCACTATTTGCAAATGGGAATGACTGATTTTAAACCAGACACTAATTTGTATCAAATGAGTTGTGCTCATTCGGTTAAAATAACCACATTTCAAATGGATTTTCATTTAGCAAATATGAGAATTGCAAATCTGGTTGAAATTGTGTCAGTCAGGAATATATCTGAAATATATAACCTTGACTGTGAAGCTGCTTCTTAATACTTAATGCAGTCTTTCACTTACGTAGACTGCTTTAATCCATGATAAACTGGCAGTTGTACGGGCAAGTGGTAGCCATAACAAAAAACAAACAAATTATTTTACAAAAGTTACTGCTTTAGACCAAAGGCTAGTTGACGTTTGAGAAAATGCCCTAAAATCAGAGATTCCAGAATTCTTTAAATGAAATAAATGGACCGAGATTCATGGGAGTTGTAGTTTTGCAACATCTGGTGACCAGAGTTTGAGATCCCAGCCCTAACTGCTGCAAAATACATAATTCATTATGGCAATATTATATATGACCTTCTTACATTTGAATCATCGCTGGATTTACTCACAGTCAGGTTTGGAAAATGCTCAAACCACCGTCATTTTAATTTCTTTCCTAATTTTCTGACTTTTCTTACTTGTTAGTGCTTTCATTTTGTACTTATAGAGGAGGATGCAACATAAAATCATTTTTTCTAATAATACCTAGCTGATGCATTAACTTACTTTCATGGCAGAATAAAATTAGTATAGCCATTAAAATAAATGAAGCCTAATTTGCTTTAAAATGTGTTTCATATGATTTTTTTTTTCTATTCATTGTTTTAGTCCTTCCATTTTAATCCACAAGAATATAGCTGAACAATATGACCAGTGCCTTCTTCACCGGGCACCAGGGAGCACTTTAATCTGACGTGACAAATAAATCACGTAAAGCATTTATGTTATAAACTCTTTCTTAATTAGCTGTGCACAAACACTAGGAAAGTTTATTTTGTAGAAATTCCCGATCACAGAAAAACACATAAAATGTAAGTTGTGAGCAAATTAACATTAGAAAACCCATGCTGTGTAATGAGTCTACAATGGCATATTTGCTAGTGCGTGAAAGTTCCCTGATGGGTTTATATATTGGACAGTGTGTTGCAGTTAATTGACAACTGATCAATGGTTTATTTTTCAACTACACTTTTTAGGGCCAAACTTTGAAATTCAGTTATCAACTTACAAAAACCCTCTGTTAACAAAAAAGAAGCATGTGAGGTTGATTCCCTATTTATTTGTGACAATTTGAGGACTGGACCTAGTGGAATAATTTAAGATAAAATTGGCAATCAGAAATCATTTTCTTTGTTATTTTAGATGAAATAAGAATGATTGGCAACATATTTTATTTCACATTCATCTTCTTTGTCATCTTCCAAAAATCTATTGAAGACAGAAATTTGCACACGTGACGTGAGCAAATCTTTATATTAGAATGCACCTTAATAAACACTTTATTTTAATTATTTATTCTATTTAATTTCCTTTAGAGGGGTTTTGTGAGATTTTTTTAATTCTTTATTTTTCCACAGGCAACTTTGTGTTAGACATAAACGTCAGGGTATAACATTCAGGATAACCATATACATGCATTTGTTAAGGTATCAATGTTGACTGCGGGTTTTATTATTAATAGTAAATGTATTATTACCTGAAGTGTATACAGTAATATCTGTAGGTTTCTAAGGCAGACATGGCCTTGTGTTAACAAAAACTGAGGGTTAAGTGGTGTGTAACTAGAGCAAACTGGGCGCTACGTGAATAAAGCTCCACGGGTAGGAGTGAATGTACATTGGTACTAGCATTGAGCTAGAGGGGTAGGTGGTAGAGTAGGGGGCGGGGCTAGTGTACCCAGGGGCTAAAAAGGCAAATATACCTACGCTTGTTATTCACATCTTTACTCATTTAAAAAATGTGCAGTTATCCCAAAAGATGTGCTAAGGTCTGAAGTTATAATGTATGTCACCACTGTTGAGGCCATTCAGGCTTGATTGTTTTCTTTACTTTTATTTAAAAATGAGGCTGGTTTATTCAGGAGTCTCAGTCATTGAATATACTGACTATATATATGACCTACGTAAATCTGCTGAGACTCTATTTATTATCTCTCTGTACCGTATACTTCATTGCCTCACTAAAATAAAGATTGACAAAAAAAAAAAAATATTTATATATATATATATATATATATATATATTCAGCTTCTGTGCTAATATTTTATTAATTGTATCCTATCTGAAGGTTTGGGGGGGGTATGCTATCTTCCTATTATGTCTGCAAATTAAAACATTTTTAATTAAATTTTTTCTAGATGTGCTTGAAAAGCAATATAAACACACAATTGCTGTTTTATCTATTATATATGAGTTATCTATTTTTAAAAAAAGCTATGATTATTTATGTTCTTTTTTTAAAATATAATAACTTGTAAGTGAAGTAAAGTTCACTTTTAGATATACCTGACAAATTCAAATATTTCAGTCATGAGGCATCTGTGGAATGTTAAACACAAATTCACTGTCTGATAGGTTTGTGCGGAATGTTGGGGGAATGAAAGGCATTGCCAGTGTTTTCAGTCTGTGTGAAAAGATTGTTCTTAATTCTTTTTCAGAGATGTGGTTAGTATGTTCTTTCTTTCTCTGGGAGCAGATGTTAATGTAGTGCCCTCTGATTACGAACTTACACGCTTCCCAGATCGTCCGGGGGGGTACCTCGGGCCTAGCGTTATCATCAAAATACTGCGTCAGCACCTGTTTAGTCTGTGCAGTGTCATCAGGGTTCGTGAGGAGGTTTTCGTTGAATTTCCACTGGCGGTCAGAGGGTTTGTACAAGGGCGATTTAAACTGCGCCGAGACTGGGGCGTGGTCGGAAGTACCGAAAATCCCTATGTCGCTGTTCAGTACCAGAGGGAGGTATTCCTGCGCTACAAAGACATAGTCTATGTGGCTATACTGTTTGTGGACCAGTGAGTAATATGTAAAATCTCTATCCTCTGGGTGTGCCACCCTCCAGCAATCCACTAAACCCCATCCGTGCAAGGCTGCCTGTGCGGAGCATATACAGTGTTGTGACAGAGTGCTTGTCCCTCTGGACGCGTCTGTCTGGGGATCTAGGGCGATGTCGAGATTACCAGCCAGGATCAACAGGCCCTCTTGGAACTTCTGAAGTTTGGTAAGGGTTCTAGTGAGGAAGGTGTGTTGTCTACGGTTAGGGCTGTAGATGTAGGCGAAGGTATATGTGCAGTCCACTATAATGCCTAACAAAAAGGAACCTCACATTAATAAACTCAATACATTGTATAACTCGTTCTGCCGATTT